CTTGTTTTTATATAAAATAATTACAAATTCTGCCAGTTTTAAATGGGTTTTTAATTAAAAAATTAAATATCATCCTATCAGTAATAATGCACATAGGTATACATTGTATATTTTGAGTATAATAAAAGAATCAGCAGCTGGGTAGTGGTGGTACATGCCTTTAATCCCAGCACTTGGGAGGCAGAGGCAGGAGTATCTCTGTGAGGCCAGCCTAGTCTACATAGTGAGCTCCAGAACAGTCAAGACTATTACACAGAGAAGCTGTCTCAGAAAATAAAAGATTCAGTATATATTGAGAGGAAATATCAGAATTTATTGACTGCCAGTGTGGATTTCTTTTCAAAGACTCTTGTCTTCTTTTAAAGTCATCTTGGCTCATAACAGAATATCATATTATTTGTGGTATGTATCATGCTTTAACTCCACATTTATTACAAATGTTGATGTTGTAAGACAATTTATCTTTCTCACTAGAGTTGTTAAATTTCTTAGAAGTTACAAGTATAAATTGAATGTCTCAGTCATCATCATGTGTAGTTATCAACAAAATCTCATTTAGACTTGCAATAATTATTTGTCTTAGTTTTCTTGACATCTTTTCATATTGTCTAAATATATATTTTTAAAGAAGAAAATAAATCTTAGAGAATTTTGTGAATAATACTCACCCATATTCATTACAGATAGTATAAATAGAATGTGTATGAATTCTTTTCACAATGTAAATCCACAAGGAAAATAAGTGATGCAACTTTTGCTCATAATCATGTTTTTTCTTCCATATTAATGATTGTGTCTGGGTATTATAATTTTGGATGCTCAGTCTCTTATTCGCCTCACACAACATATGAAAGAAATAAGCTTTCTTTGAGAATATCATGCAGTCATGAAAATATTTTTTTAACCACAGGTCCAGTTATTTGTAATTTATTTATAATTATGGTTTTGTATACCTTCAGAAATTGATGTGTTGCATCTATTTAACTAGAGTATATTTATGTAAAGTATGACTGTATTATTCTTTAAATCAAATGCTATCTTAATTAAATTATGTGCACAACAGGAGTCTGGGAACCTGGGAGTAGATGAGCTGTGTAAATCAAAATAATAATAATGCATGTGATTTTTTTGTTTATTAAATGTCTCTGGATGCCTTGATATATAAAACATTATCTACATACACATTGTTTTCCAATTAGAATGCTTTCCTTTCATTTATTGCCAAGTTTTAGTATATTGTAAAAAAAAACCTTAGTTTTGTTAAATAATTAACTATGATTATAATTTTGTGTGTTGTAGTGGTGATGTAGACAACACAGAGTACTATAAACAAAAGTTATATGTGTATGTTTTTGCATAAAGGGACATTTCTATCTTTAAAACTTCAGAATCTTTTAAGTCTTGTACAGAATGAAATGCTGGTTTTGGTTTTTAAATGGGTTTTTAATTAAAGAAATTTATATTCTTAATTGGTTTTCAAATTATTACATATACTTATGTATTTTAAATATTGTCCTATCTTTCTCTTATTTAAGTACAAATTTTATATATCTATTAGATATCTAGTAGTCTATCACTATATCCATATAATTATCCAGAACTTTTATATTACATTATAAATTTAAAATGTAACAAATATTTAAATAATTGAGTCAATTTATACTTACATACTGGTTTTAAATGGGTTGCAAAATTTTTTGGTTTTGCCAATTGAACTGAAAAATTAAAAACAACTATGAAAGCAGGAATATTTAAAATTAGATGACTAAAGATGTATTATGTGCAGTATGTTCAATAACTTGCATGTTCTTTAAAAAGCTTTTTCAGGAATAGAATTCTAAATGTTTGAACATGTGGACCTAGGGAGCTAAGTTCAGTGCTCCAATGTGGGACTCTGTCCCTATCTCCATCCATCGTCAGATGAAGGTTCTCTGGTGATATGCAAAATATTCATCAATATGGTTATGGGACAAGATCAGTTCATGCACCCTCTCCTTGCTGCCCAGGGAACAATCTGGGGATCTCTCCCTGGACTTAGCTCCCTATGTCCAAATGAGGAGCAGAAGGAGGGAGAACGTGAGCAAGGAAGTCAGGATCACAAGGGGTGCTTCTACCCACTGAGATGGTGGGACTGATTTAATGGGAGCTAACCAAGGCCAGCTGGACTGGGAGCGATGGAGCATGTGATCAAAATGGACACTCTGAACGTGGGGGGCAATGAAGGCTGACTGAGAAGCTAAGGACAATGGCATTGGGATTTAATTCTGCTGCTTGGTCTAACTTTGTGGGATCCTGGTTTGTTTGGCTGTTCACCTTTAAAGACCTGTATGGATGGGGGAGGACCTTGGACTTCCCATGGGGCAGTGAACCCTGACTGCTCTTAAGACTAGAGAGGAAGGGGGCGGTGTGGAGGGGAAGGTTGGAAGGGGAAGGTGGGGAGGGGGAGGAGGAGAGGGAAGGGGAAGTGGTGGAAATTTTTAATAAATAAAGAAAAAAGATGTATGAACATGATTATGATACTATATCACAATATGTATTCAGTGCTTTTATTCATCATCATATTCCGCCAGTAATATATTGCTAGATATTTATAACAGTGATTTTTCTGAGGTCATGCATGGAGCAAAGTACAAAAACATGCATTGGTTTTTACAAATATTGAAATTATTTCCTAGTAAGAGCTATGACTTTTTTCTTTTTTTTCTTTATTTTATTTATTAAAAATTGCTACCTCCTCCCCTCCTCCACTCCTCCCATTTCTCTCCCACTACCCCTACTCCCCCTCCCTCTCCAGTCCTAAGAGCAGTCAGGGTTCCTTGCCCCCTGGGAAGTCCAAGGTCCTCCCGCCTCCATCCAGGTCATCCAGGTTGAGCATCCAAACAAACCAGGCTTTCACAAATTCAGTTCAACCTTCATCTGGCGATGAATGGAGATAGAGACAGAGACCCACATTGGAGCACTGGACTGTGCTCCCAAGGTCCAAATGAGGAGCAGAAGGAGGGAAAACATGAGCAAGTAAGTCAGGACCGCGAGGGGTGCGTCCACCCACTGAGATGGTGGGACTGATCTATTGGGAGCTCACCAAGGTCACCTGGACTGGGACTGATGGAACATGTGATCAAACCGGACTCTCTGAATGTGGCTGTCAATGAGGGCTGACTGGGCTATGACTTTTATACAACTTACTTAAAACAAAATAGTACAAGAGTAAAAATGCTTATTATAAAAGGAGAAAATATGCACATAAGGTTTACCAATGGTAGACAACTTGACAGCATCCTCAGTTTCCTAGGATGGGTCTCCGGGTATGCCTGACTCTAAATTAGGTTAGCCTCTAGGAACATCTTACAGAGTTCTATAGATTAGATTAATTAGGGTAGTGGAGAGCTGCATGCATAGGAGAAGGGGAGTGCAACATTGACATTCAACACTCTTCCTCATGAGTACAGACAGTGTTATTAGACCTCTTATGCTCCTGATACCATGACTTCCCACTCTAGGATGAGCTGCACTTTGAAAACAGAGTGAAAATAAAGTTTCCCTTCTTACGTGTCTTTTTCTTTTGCATAGGTATCATAGCAACAAGAAAAGCAATGGATGTAATGAAATGATCAGAAAACTTTCAATAAAATGAACTAACAATGTCAATGAGCAATAAAATTATTCTGACAATAAACAATAAAATTGGAAATATACAGATAAAGAACATTACAATGAACCTTAACTACCATGAAAAGGAAATGTTAAAAACATTATACAATATACTCCAATCAATTTATTTATCTGGTTGATACAGTAGGATTTGATTAATAACATGCAATCGAAAGTAAATTAATGCTTAGCATTACTGTATATTGCATAATAGTAGTTCAAATCTAAAGCTTGAGCAACATGGTTTGACACATATCTAATAAAATTAATGTAATATATAATACACATTATAGATATATAAAAGATAAAATAACCTTGTATATGTGTGCCATTGGTGTATGTTTCAGGGTGCTTCAGTACTTTTTGTACTTTGTTTTTTTTCTTTTTCACGTCTTCCTACTTAAAAATATTAAACACATTCATTATAATAGACTCTCAGCTGTAGTTCAGTATAAGAATATGTCAATGGCTGAATAGTTTAATGCTATAAAATCTTTAAATTTTACAATCCTCATTTTAAATTTCTATTAAATTTAAATTCACATTCCATGTGCAATTCACCCTACTTCTCTTCCAACACCACCCCAGCCTCCCTCCCAGCCAAACCCCATTCATTCCTTCTATTGGGTAAGAGATCCCATTGGAAGTCAACAATGTCTGGCACATTAAGTTGTTTCAGTATCAAGTCCCTCCCCTTGGATCTTGATATATACAGTATTTCATGTGCCAATTAAGAATTTCTTTCAAACTATCAATGTAGGTTATCAATAGTTCACTCTAACTCATTTATATAAAGCCAATGACCTCTTAAAAAGATGTCAATTAGCACTTGAGTGACTGTCACAGCGGAAACCAGCTAGTGTACCCCACTAGTACATAATGGCAGATCATCAGTGATTATGCCGACCTGCTATTGGACTTATTATAATCAATTATCTCTTACACCACAGTCATGCAGATGACCAAAAGCTGAAGATTTATCTGGATTTTTTTAATGACCTTAACTTTTTAAGAACTTCATATAGTACTCTGCCTCAGCTTCTCTTCTACCTCTCCCTCTCCTCCTCCATCCTGCCCTGTGCCCCAATTCATTCATTCATTATCTCTTGACGATCACTACAACATACATAATTGGATTTATGAGTAGATCTTACTAAGAATTTTTGTTTGTACTTTGAGTGTTTAAATGATCAATATGGGAAGTGTTAGTGAAATTTTCTCTTAAATGTCTTTGAAATTATTTTCCCTTTTTAATACATGGCAAAGATTGGAAATTTCAAAAAAGAAGGACAGTGATGTAATTATATTTTAATTAAAAAACATTTAAAAAAACAATTTTCGGACACAAGATGGTAGCCACCACAGGCTCGGGAGTAAAAGTCCCTCGAAATTTCCGACTGTTGGAAGAGCAGGAAGAAGGCCAGAAAGGAGTAGGCGACGGCACAGTTAGCTGGGGTCTAGAAGACGACGAAGACATGACACTTACAAGATGGACAGGGAGGATAATTGGGCCTCCAAGAACAATTTATGAAAACCGAATATATAACCTTAAAATAGAATGTGGGCCTAAATACCCAGAAGCACCCCCTTCTGTAAGATTTGTAACAAAAGTCAATATGAGCGGCGTGAGCAGTTCAAATGGCGTGGTGGACCCAAGGGCCACAGCAGTGCTGGCAAAGTGGCAGAATTCCCACAGCATCAAAGTCATCCTGCGGGAGCTTCGACGCTTGATGATTTCAAAAGAGAACATGAAGCTGCCACAGTCGCCAGAAGGACAGTGTTACAGTAATTAGTCACCAAGGGCCAGGCCTCCCCTCCCCAATCCAACCTAAGTCTTCATTTTCCACAGTACTGAATTTTCGAGATTCATCTTGTAGACCTCAAAGTCCTGGAGAGGAAGCTCCACTGAGACTTCATCCTGAGACACTGTTCTGATACTAATTTCTGTCCATTTGAAATACCTGAGTTGTGCTGTGTAACATCTTCTGTCGAGTGTAACCGCTGGCTGCCTAGTTGAACTTCTGGGATCAAGAAGGTGTGCTGAAATCAGTTTCCTGTGGGAGCGGTGGGCACAGCTAATGCAACTGTGAACAGACATGTCACACAATCACCTGCTGCTGACACATGGCCTGGGTCTGCCTTTGCCCGCCTCGCACTCCTGCCACAGCTGTGTGGTGGCTCTTAGACTAGATGGGAAGGCTTCAGGTAGCAGCCGTGGGACTACTGCTGGGCTTGGGGTGCTTTGGCTGTACCCCTGCTTCCTTAAGTCTTAAGTTATGCCCCGTCCAAGCCATCGTCCCCACCCCACTCCCGTTCCTCCACTCCCACCCTTGGCCAAAGCTTAGATTGTAACCCTCCCATCCCTCTGAAATTGGCCGTGGGTGAGGAATTCAGGGCTGCCCGTCTCCCCACCTTTATCAAGGGGTGCTGCTTTCCCCCTCCTCCTCAACTCCCTTGTTGCCCATCACCACCCAACACTTGCTGTGGCCAGAAACCATCAGATGAGGTTGGAAGAGCCTGGCCTCCCTCACTTAGCTCTGGACCACACATTCACTTGCCACCAGCCTGGGAAGGGGGTGCTGGGTCCTCAGCCCTGCTGCCACCATCAGCCGATGGACTTTGAGCTCAGGTCTCGAGGTGAACAGAGCAGTCACAAGGCAACAAACCTGCCAGCGCTCAGGGTCCTTGGAGGTTTCACCTAGAGAAAGGCCAGGCGGAGAGTCCTAAGCGCACGGGGTTCTGTGTCGGTTCCTTTTCTCATAATTGCTTTGCTTTTACAAACTGAAAAGGTTTGGACAGGGCTCCCTGGCCACCCATCAGGTCTGATGTGGAGCCTGATAGCTGGAACAGAGGCCCTGACCCTGTGGACTCAGGTTTCAGTGTTGCTGCTCCTCAGACCCTCGGCAGGGACCTGGAGGAGCTCTGAGTCACGAGTTTTCAGTGGGTCTGGCCTCCGGGCTCGTTGCCATGTTCCCCACTCTGTTAAGGACCACTAAATGTTGAAATATGGATGCATACCGAAATAAAGGCAATTTGTTGTGTTGCAAAATAAAAAATAAAAAAAAAAACAATTTTCTCCCATTTGAGTTCCTCTAGTACTATGAAGCACAAATTAATTATCAACATATGAAAAGATCTGAGAAAAAGAAAAGGCATAGTATAATTATTGAAATAGACTTGCATCATTGCCATTGTTAGGGCTGAAATTTGTATTTATTATTTTTTATAAAAATGTAAAACAAACACTATAGATTAATAATCATCAATACATCATTTTTTTTCTTCCAGGAGTAAATTGTTATTGGATCTTAACGTATTATTTGACTCTACTAATCAACCCTAAAATTAATTTACCTAAATACAACCTGTACCAAAATGACACTCAGTATTGAATGATCAGCCAAAATATGTTTTGTGTGTGATTTAAAATATAGACGTTTCCTTGCCCTTGGAAATAGTGTTGTATCATACTGATGATGCTGTTCTGACTGTAGGGTTCCTGGTAAATCGCTGTGTTCGTGAAGTTCACTTAAAGGAAATACTTATTGCTCCAGTATTCAGCACCTTCAAGTTTTGCTTCTGTGTCCGTAAATCGCCTTAGTGTAGAAGATGATCTCTAAATAATTCATACCTAATAAAGTGTCAAGGCGAGACCTGTGAATATTTTGTCCTAAATTAGATAATATGAATATTAATGTTTAAGTCAAAGTTGACCATTCTTTTGTCAACATTCAAAGTGGGGTAGTTATATGTCACAGTTCCGTTTCTGTTATTAAGACCATTTCTCTACCCTTTTTTGTTGATTTTTTTATTAGATTGTTTTTAAAAATATCAATTCAAATTTCCACTCCCTCCCATCCTCCCATTCCTTCCATACAGCCTCCCATCCCACCCCCATCTAATCTTAAGAGAGGTAAGGCTTTGTGGAAGGTCCAAGGGCCTTCTTACTACATCTAGGCTGAGCAAGGTATACATTCAAAGAGAATAGGATTCCCAAAAGCCAGTACATGCAGTAGAGATACACCCTAGTGCCATTGCCAGTATTTGTTGACTCTTAAAAATGTACTTTAATCATAAAATTTATATTAATATATATTCTTCAATACGGTACTCCACTTAAGACTATCGCTGAAAAACAAATCAGCAGATGAAACTCTTACAAACTGCTCTGCTCTCTCTTAAATTAAAAATAAAGAATCCATGCAGAAGTAGACAACATTTTGGAATTGAAACTGATATTTTATCATCCAGAAGCTTCATGCTTGAGAACTGTGCAATCTAGTTACAAACACATAGCAAGATTTTAAAAAAGTATTTTAAAGTTTGTAATTTTCATTGTGCTGAATTTGGAGCTATTATTAGACATATTTTTCCTTTGGTGGTTTGAGAGGACATATAAAATACATAGTACAAACAGGCCACTTACATATTTGTATTTAACTATATTTAATGAGTATATACAGAAATGACTAGAATTCAGTGATATGTACAGGTGAAGCTCCAGTAACAGACGCGGGACACTTCCCTCCCTCTGTTTCCTAGGGAAGCTTTCTGTAGGCCTAGAATCCTTGGAATGTACCACTAACGTGACATCAGCTCACTGACGAAATGCATTAACCTCTCTTAAGATCAATTATGCCATTTCCTCATAACAGCTTAACACACACACACACACACACACACACACACACGTAACACTTTAACATAAAATGTTTAATCTCAGACAAAGACAAGACATGCTTACACTTTATGACCGGTCATTATAACATACAAAGTATATAGTCTTCATGTTTATCTCCTTTTTTAGATTATTTTTCTGATATCACCTGACATTTGAGCTATGTTATTCATGTAAAAATTAATTTAAAAAGTGGTCAATTAGCTGGTAGGTATGCACTGGGTAAAAAATAGTATAATTGGGTTTTATTCTACCCTGAATTGGAAGAACCCACATTTTTTGTTGTTGTTGTTGTTTTGGTTTTGTGTTTTTTGGTTTCTTGTTTGTTTTGTTGTTTTTCAATACAGTGTTTCTCTGTTTTTGTTTGTTTGTTTGTTTGTTTGTTTGCCTGTACTGGAACTAGCTCTCATAGAGCAGACTGGGCTGGAACTCACAAAGACCTGCCTGCTGAGTGCTGGGATTAAAGGCATGTACCACCATCACCAGGTGGAACACAAATTCTTATTCATGGTATAAGTAGATGAGAAAGTAAAATCACATTATAAGATAAATAATCATAAGACATATCAGACACACAGTGAGGAAGTAATAATTAAATGTCAATGGACACTCTTATTACTTTAAATGGGATTAAAAATTTTATGTATGCAAATAACTCATGTAATAATGATGCTGTACAAATACTGCACTAACTATAGAGAACATTGCTGTGGGTCAACAGAATAATATTCCACCTTCCCATGCAGAGTTCAAACTCTAATAGAGTTATGAAGAAGTAACAGAATAATTATAAATAAAATGTAGATCAAGTTATGATCAATGCAATGGAGAAAATGCAAGAAAGAAAAATATGGGATGGAATAAAAATCATTAACCATATTATTTAGTTACACGCTTATCTAATTATTATTTATTACTAGGAAAAACACTTAGAACCTTGCACTAGTCAAGAAAGGACTTTTAAAGACAAACTTCATTTGAGGTCCTTCATGCCACCTTTTCACATTCAGGCAGTGTCTCTTAGATAAAAGCTGCCCTTGAAATTATTCTGTAGCCTAGGTTTTGACCTTGCCTCCAATCCTGACTAGTTTAGATTACAGCTTTGTGCCACAAGCTCAGCCTATTAGCTGTGCTTGTAAGGGAATTTTTAATTCTAATTTATTGGAGAATGCTGCAAATGAGAGATTTTATATATTAGTCCAATTGCATCAAATATCTCTTATGGCCTTTCCTCCTACGGTCGTCATCTTCTAAAATTATTATTGTTACACATATCACACACACACACACAATACACTGTCCACATATTCTATTAAATCCATAGTGCTTACCTTCATCACTTATAATTTAAATGTGGATTTTATGGAAAGTCTTATTGATTGTTATTTAACAGAAAGGTCTCTTCCAAGTGGGGCAGTGGTGGTGCATGCCTTTAATCTCAGCACTCTCAAGGCAGAGGCAGGCAGATCTCTGTAAATTCTAGGCTAGACTGGTCTACAGAGCGAGTTCCAGGACAGGCACCAAAGCAATATAGAGAAAAAAAATGGCTATTCGAAAGAAATTTGCAAGGAGAATTAAGAAGCCATATGTTTGGAGATAAGAATGTTTCAGACTAAGAAAGAATAGTAAAGAAGATTTTTGCAAATAATCTTTACTTTTTTTCTTTATTTTTGTTTTGTGCACATGAGTGCTTTGCCAATGTGTATGTCTGGGCACCACAAGCATGTCTGATGCTCTTAAAGGTCAGATGAGGGTGATGGATATCCTGGTAATTGATACATATTGTTGTAAGCTGCCATGTGCATGCTTAGAATCAAACCAAGGTCCTCTGGAAGAGTGTCCAGTGCTTTTATCTATTAATGCAAAGTGAGAAGATTGAAAGAAAACTAGTGATGGTGGGCAGCATTCTCAAAGAATCAACACTTTCCCATTTTAAGAAACAGTTCATACAGGGAGCAAAACAGGAAATACTGCACAGGCCCAAATTGCTAAGAGAACAGTAAGAATTTATTAAATTATATGATTTATACCACTTTCCCTTAGAGCCTAATTTTTATTAATTGAGTAGTGTCGATTTTTCATTTCCTAATTCAGAATTGAACAGCCTTAGAAAAA